GAACAGTTACCTCCCGTTGCTTAGCATGCTAGCTGCTGCGGCTAACCCCCTAACGGGAACACTTACCTCCCGTTCGGGGCTCCCGGCGCCCGCCGCCCCCCTGCGGGTGACTTCGCCCAAGACGACATTTTATCTCCACCGCGACTTTAGCAAGCCGAAGTTTTTAATACCACGAACTTATTAAATGTTCCCGGGTGCTCATTAACTAATGTTGCTAACCTGCCGTCACTGGGGGAAATAAAGAGAAGAAGGAATTCTTCTTCTACGGCTGATCGGGTTACGGAGATCTATCGCCCCCTGTTGGACGACAACGTCTCTTCCGTAAATTAAGACACCGGTAACAGTTTCCAGTACAGCGAAGGTCGCGGTTATTCTTGTAAAGCTAGCAATGCTCCCAAAAGTCAATGAATAAAGAAAGGTCATATTTTTTCCTGTAAAGTTAGCAATGCTCCCAAAAGTCAATGAATAAAGAAAGTACATATTTTTTCCTGTACTAAATGGCCAATTTTCTGTCTGTATTAGATACTGAGCATGTATGCATCATTATGCAGTCTGAACTGAGAAAGAACACCTCATATTCCACTTAAAATAACCAGAATCTGGTCTAGTTTTGAATATCTTAAGTGGCAGATAAGATGTTTTTAGTTGCTGTTTTTTAATCCTTCCTTTTTTATCTTTTAGTGGCCTTATTTTAACTTAAAATGGTTAAATCCGTTATATTACAAAAGTTTTGTTCATCTTTTTGATTGTTCATTACTGGCTACTGGCTTTGACAGAAGAGGTTTTTAATTATTTTATGGTTAAATTACAGGCAAATCAAATAAATACCTGCCTTTTGTCTGGTTTCAGCACAAAGTTTCCTTCATTTCTGGATGCTGGAACAGAGCTCATTTCCAGGAAATGAAGCCTCATTCTGGAGGAAAACCAGCAGATCTCAGAGTTCTCTGGTCTCTAGTTTGGATCAGAGGCTCAGATATTGATATGTGATCACAGACAGATTTGTGTCAGAGTTTAAACAGCAAAGCAGGAAGCATCCAGCTGCTTTTCAGCCCAAACAGGAAGAAACAGTCAGGACTCAGTAGCTTTATGGTACAGTCTCAGTATTACAAAAAAACAACATAGCTGTTCAGTATAGAAGTGATGCAAAGTGATTGATCTCCTTTTTATTCTGCTGAAGTATGGAGGAGAACCAACAGGAGTAAGACCTGCAGAAAGCGGTTGCTGTTGGATCCTTCGACTGCTTAAAGAAAAGACCTGCGTGCAGTTTGAATGCTTTATTTCCTGTATGTATGCATACTGCAGTTAAGTAGCAAGAACTAAAGGCAAACTAGAAAGGACTACAAAATACAACACACGGACCAATACATTTACAAAACATTCAAAATGTTACAAAATGGGCTGTATTGGTCCTTCTATTGTTCATCAATTTGGATCTTTATACAAATTGTCAAGTTACGATGTTACCATCACTTTGCACAATTTTACAAATGCCAGGGAGAGAGCTCGGCTTGGTCCCGCCCGTCTCCCCCACCCGGGAGCAGACCCCACCCACCCGTCCCCCTCGGAAAAAGGAGAGAATCAACAGAAAGTAGCAGGCAGTTTTTTTTTTCTCTTCAACCATTCAGCCTCTGAAAGCAAAAAAAAAAAAGAAAAAAAAGAAGACAAAACGAGTTTGTGAGGGAGGGAAGCAACCGAGGACTTTGGTAGTGAGTGAAGATGCGTTTTACTGGACATGAACATTTCAATCCGTTTGTCGACTTCCCTGCTCTCCCTTTTTTTTTTCAATATTTACACAAAAAGCATCAAAATAAGTATATTAAACAGCACGTCCCAATCCATCTTCCATCAGCTGGGAAAACAAAAATCTAACTCCTCGGGTAGTCAGCAGTAGTCCTTTCCTGTGGCGGCTGGCGTCTCCAGCGGCGTGGGGGGTGGGGTGGGGGGGGGGCGGGTCAAGGCCACGGCGGCGCCCGGCGGCGGCGAGCGGGCCGACGCAGGCTAGCTGGCGCCGGCGCAGGCTAGCTGGCGCCGGTGCCCTCCATCACCTGCTGGGCCTGCTTCTGCCCCATGCAGCACTGGGCCACCGACTGGAACAGCCTGCAGACAGACAGACAGACGCGGTCAGAGCAGCCGCTGGGCTGGGGGCCGAGTGGGCGGCGGCGAGCGGCGCCCGCTGGACTTACTTTTCAATCTCAGGGGCACAGTGCACAAAGTCGTGGCTCCAGAACTTGAAGGCAGGGTTCTTGATCAGCTCGATGAAGGTGATGAGGAGCCCCCAGGGGTGAGGCCTGTTCACGATCAGCCTCTCCAGCAGAACTCTGCAGGGAGAGAGCAAAGCCGTCAGCCTGTGGGAGCTCAGGCAGGTGGGGGGGTGGGGCCGGGGGGGACAGGGGGGAGTGGGGGGGGTCTGGGTCTAGGCATGTTTAAGGAGACAGGGCCTGGCCTTACCTGGTGATCTGCTCCTGGATGGCCTCCGTGTTGGCCTCGGCGAACAGGTACAGCATGGTGCAGCTGAAGTAGTGGGTGTGGCTGTTCGGGTAGCGCAGCTGGTTGGCGATCGCGTTCAGGAACAAGTAACGGCCTGAAAGACGAGAGGCCGACAGCAGGTCAGCGTTCAGCCGGCAGACGCTCGCACAGACTGTGACAGAATATTTGGCCACTGTACTACTAAACTGCCTCTGAGACCTTACAGATGGACAGAAACGTGTCCGCTCCCCGTTCAGGCCTCAGACTGGAGGTCCCAGCTAACAGAGTAACTGCTAAGTTACTAAGTTGGTAACATCTAGGAGCTCCAGCTGTTAAGGTTTGAGGACTCTTTCTTGGTCCCCTTTGCTTTACCCTCAGTGTCCAGGTCCACGGCCAGGTTCTGGAAGATGTCCATGTGTGCCGAGTGGGTGATGGTGCTCATGGAGGGGGTGCTGCCCTTGCTGTGGATGTGGGCGATGGCCTGCGTGCCCACGTACAGCACCAGTGCGTTGATCAGCTGGATGTTGTAGCGGTTCCCCGGCTCGTTGGACACCTGCGGCAAAGAGAGGTTACGGCGGCGTGTCGGGGCTCCGGATCGGCGCCGGACGCCACGGCCGGGGGTCAGCTGACCTGCAGGTTGCTGCGCAGCTCGGACAGGAAGGTGACGGGCGAGCGCGTCTTCAGGTACGAGTCCAGGTCCTTCTTGAACTGGGACGGCATGACGCCCGTGAAGTTGGTGAGGATGCGGGGGGCGATGTTGATCTCGCTCAGCATGTCCACCTGCGGACAGGTGACCCGCCGTCAGCTGGGGGCTCACAGGGAGGCGGCGGCGGCGCGCGGCCAATCTGGGGGGGCCTACCTTCAGGTTGGGGGTGAAGGGGTCGGGGAGCCTCATGTTGCGGGGGAAGGCACTGAGGATGAGGTTACGCAGCTGGATGCAGTTGGGCGGGATCACGTCACAGAAGCCATAATGGTAGTCGCACAGGAACTCTGGGAAGTCGTGCAGCAGAACCAGGAGCACCCGCAGCGTGCCCTGAACAAGCAGAACCCACACCGGCTCATGTTACGTCATTCACATTTTTATCCAGAGCAACTTCCAAACAGAGGCTCTAATATCTCCACTCTGAGCTCAGCTTGATGCTACATGCTAGCAGAGGCTTTAACATTAAGGCTTTAACATCCAGCTAGAACAAAAATTCCACAACTAGCATCCATTGATGTTTCATGCTATCAGGAAATAAGATAATTTAAAGCTTTAGGACCAGAGACACTCTGGAAGAGAGTCTATCCATCTATCCATCTATCTGTCTACTATCCATCTATCTGGGTTTCTGAAGGAGGACAGAGACTCATAAAGGCTTCAGCTGAAAGAGGAGGCCGGTGGTCATGCAGCTGGAGTCCTCCTACCTTGTAGAGGATTTGCATAGGTTTGTTGAGCTCGACGTTCCTCAGGAAGGGGGCCAGATACTTGAAGAGATCGATCAGCAGCTGTGCGTACATGGGCCACCCCTGCAGGACGACAGCAGTCCGGTCAAACAGAGTTCACATCACAGACATAAGAAGCAGTCGGGGGGCTGCTGCACCTTCTGCTGGGGGGTGTGCGCCAGCATCCTGGCGATGAAGATGCGGTGGGAGATTAGCTCCAGCCAGGCATACACGAAGCCCGGCGCCTTGGTGGGCCTCAGGATGTGGAAGGTGTTGCTGTGGGTAAAGGACAGACGAGGTCTGAGACAGCCCGAGCAGGCGGCGGCGGCTCTCAGAGCAGGTGGCGGCGGCGTCCTACCAGAAGGCAGTGAGGGTCTGGAAGTTGATGGTCTCCAGCACGTGCTCGGGGGCGTTGAGCTCCAGCAGCAGCATGATGAAGATTCGGTGGTACGGCAGCTGCTGGAACTCTGTCTGACGCACGTCGTGGTCCTGGATCAGGACGCCGACCACGATGCCCAGCACCTGTCGGGAGGGCGCCGGGGTCAGAGCAGCCCCAGACACGCTGCCCCCCCCCCCCCGGGGCCGAGCAGCCCTACCTTGTTCAGGAGGTTGATTTTGGTCACCGTGTTGGTGGCCTCTCCAGAGTGTTTGACCAGGAGGGCGATGAGCCTCACGAAGGCGTCCAGGTTGTGGTAGCACTTGGCCCGGATGATGGCGGCGCTGGCGGCCGGGTTGTGCTGCTGCTCGGCCTGAGCCCTGTAGCTGATCTCCACGCACATCTCTGTGCACAGCCGGAAGAACCTGGTGATCAGGTCGTCTGTCTTCAGGATGCCCTGCTGGTGCATCTGAGGTGGGAGCAAAGCAGCGTGAGGAACGGCGGCGGCGTGAGGAACGGCGGGGAGGGCTCTGTGGGGACGGCTCCTCACCTGGCCGACGAAGGCAGAGAAGGCTTTGGTGCTGTCCCGGCCAGCAGCCGCCGAGTGGTACAGGTTGACCCACTCCCTCAGGAGGTACTCCGCCTTCTCCCGCAGGCCTGGGGGGTCGTCGTACTCTGAGGCCTGGGAGATCCCAGAGTGCATCATGAAGTTGGGTCCTCCGTGGGCCCGGTCCATCATGGCTTCGTAGTTGGATCGAACCACATCCATCAGCTGGGGGAGTCTGGAGGGGAGGGGCAGAGTCAGCTGAGTCCAAAATGCTAACAGAATTGGTTTAACTGAATGTATTCCATCTGCACTTTTTCTTTGTTCTCTTATAAACTTTTCGTGGACACTTCGAATCGCCTTGTACACGAGGTGTGTTGCCAAATAAACCTGCCCAGCCTAATCAAAGCTGAGGGCTCCAAGTGTGGCCGCGGAGGCTTTTTTCTCTGGAAGAGAGGAAGAGGAGTTTATCATGCTTTTCCTCATTCAGAGGGAGCCTTTTTTACGGCCCACGTGAGGAAACCCCCCCATCAAGTCACATAGTAAAATCATGCATGAATGCATTTCAATGAGTGAATTCAGAGGTCACAGACCTTTGAATACTTTCTGCTCCAGGCATAAAAAAACATAATGGAACTACTGTAAGAGGATGATGGCAGATGTGCAGAACTGCAGTCAGAGACAAACAGCGGTAAAGAAATCCCTGTGGAAGTTTCAGAGGAAGGCAACAAAGCTAAATGAAGGATGTTTGCGGAGCAGAAAGTCAGAGGAGAGCACCTGCTGTGTCAACTGAACGTTGGTTTTGACACAGACAGCTGTGAGTTCAGTACTGTGACCCAGAACGACGCTGTCTTCATCTCCCACTTCCTGCTGGGGTTCTGTTAGCATTTAAAGACTCAAGTCTTCGTCACTGCCTCTCCTGTAATCTATAGTTCATCTTTAATTTGAAGGATGTGACACTGCGTGCTGAAGACTTGTAAAGGTAAACCACCTCTCTGTAACTGGGCGGACTGTCCAAAGCCCCAGAAGGCTCGGAGCAGGTTGTCCTCATAAAAGGTGGTGAAGCGCTTCATTTTGGGATGTGAAGTGTGAACTTGTGGTTCTTACCCCTCGGGTGCGTTGGCTCTGGAGTGTGCACAGATCCTCATCAGAGCCTCGATGGTCTGAAAGAGGTCTGCCTCGGTGACGTGGCTCACGCTGCGCTCGTCCACCAGCAGCAGCTTCACCAGCTGCATGGCGAACGCTACGGCCATGTAGTGCAACCCGCTTTCCATCGACTGGAGGGAGACAGACAGGCCTCATGAGACTCAGCCACAGGCTTCCCCGGTCAGACTCTCAGCTGATGTGCAGGAGGATGAACCCAGGCGCTGCAGAGTGGGACTCACCTGCGCCAGGTGCACGTCATACTGCTGCATATTAACTAGGTGGTTTCTGATGAGAAGTTCTACTGCCTCTACATTGTATTTGTATTCATCACGGCATTCAGTCAGACACCTGGAAACCAAGCAGAGTTAGAACCATCTATTTGACTGAGTCCCAAGCAAACCAGACACCCAACAAGCTTCAGGAGGTGACAGGAAATGAAGGAGTCGGGCACCTGGTGATCTGCTTATTGCACCACTGCGGCCCGTACGCTCGCCCGTCCTGCAGCGCCTTCAGCACCAGCAGGTGGCATTCCCTGTAGCGCAGCAGCAAGTCGGCATCGGCGCCACTGGTAGCATCCAGCAGACCTTCCACCGCCTGCAGAGGAAAGCAGCTCGTTACATCCACCCAGCAGCGTGTGTGTGGAGCTGGGAGAGTGCAGCGGGGAGGTCTGGGAGTTCACCTTCTGCAGGAGGCCGAGCGCTGAGATGCCGTCTCTGGAGTTGCGAGCTAAAGCCACGGCTTCCAGTAAGGTGCGCAGGGACTGGGTCAGAGGGTTCATGGCCAGGGCTGGAGAAATGGCATGAAGGTGCTGCTCCAAGTCTGCCATGCACTTATCGTAGATCTGAGCCACATCGTCGGTGGCCCAGGCCTGTTGCTGTGACACAGACAGGATCCAAGTCTCAGACAGACTACAAACCAAATCATGGTCTAAAAGGGCCCCTTCTCAGGTAACATGTTTGCATGCTTCCAACCCTGGACATTTAGATGCTTATCTCAGTGGTAAAGTTTTGTTTGGCGAGGGTCATTCACTTACTTTCATGGGCTGAGCCAAGAAGCCGGTGGGTTGGGAGAGATCATTGCTTGGTAAGAAACCTGGAATGTTCCTTGCAAACTCCTCATAAACCGCAAGCTGCTTGGGGTCCACTCCTCCCACCTGCGTTACAACAATAAGGAGGGTTGGTCTGAATGCCTCACTGGGCGCTTAGAAGCTTTATTTTTGTCCCTTTCATGTGTGAAATTGACCCAGATCCCACCTTGAGTCTGATCTGCTCCGGCATGCGCTCAGCCTGGTAAGTCAGGACCACCGGGTCGCAATAGCGGCGTCCCTCTTGGCGTGCATGCTTCCTCAGCTCAAACTCCTAGATTGGAGAACAGAGTGAGTTTTGCATTAGAGGAAAAACACAGAGCGACTCGTTCCTTACTAAATCAACATCTAGTACTCCAGTTGTACTAATGTATTGTATATGTATGTATGTGTTATTTATGTGTCCACTTTACGGAGCTGCTCTCCAAATCTCATTGTACTGTGTACAATGACAATAAAGGCTTTCAATTCAATTCAATTCCCTGCCGAGGGAACTGATGCTCAAAACCCCTCGTCCACTCAGGCAGCTCACCGTGGCCAGTCTCTTGTCCATTTCAGGGCCGGCCTTCTCCACAGCAGTTTTCTGGATGAAGCAGCAGGCTAATTCACAGTTGTCTTGTGCGATGCGGGCTGCAGCCTCTTCCATCATTTCCCTTTGCTGGGGGGTTGGTGCCTGAGAGAAGAGCCGGTCAGGGATTAGAGGAGGAACTATGCCTTCTGTGCGTGTAGCGGCTGTGTGAGGATGGCTCACCCTGAGCGCAGCAGCAAAGCTGTTCTTCAGATTGGTGGCGATGCTCATGAGCAGCGGCTCGCGGCAGGTGATCATCGCCATGCCGGCCGTCAGGTTCCTCATCATGTGGTGGGCAGCCACACGCATGCGCGACTCCTCTGAATCCAGCGCAAAGTCCTTCCTGATGATCTGCTCGCAGGTCGTCATGGCTATTTTGATGGAGCGATCGACCACGGGGTGCACGAGCTCCTGGACGGCCCGCTCCACAGACTGCCGCACGCACTGTTTGAGCTGCGGATGGGCCTGCAGCAGAGGGATCTGACGAACAGGAGACAGAAATACTGAAGGCAAAGCCGGAAAAGAACGATCCGGTCCCTCTGCAGCGGACAAGTGAGCCGACCGGTGGGATTCACGCCCACAGAAACCGAATAAAAGTCTGCACACACAGTGAGTCGACACTGGGTTGCTGTACTGTGTGAACTTACATTGACATTTATGTTGATGTGTGGAGCCAGGCACGCTAAGGCACACACATTGATGTCATGGTAGCTGAACTGTGGGGTGGGGGGCCCGGTGGTGGTGCAGGTGGTAGTGGTGGCAGCTGGGGTTGAGGGGGGAGCTGCAAATGGAACAAAGTCTCCTGTTGGTCACAAAACGCTAATTTGATTAAAATCACAAGGAAAGCAGATTAAAAAGACAACACAACTTAAAAAACAAAGATTATTTAAGACTTTTGTGTAGGTCACAAAGAGAAAGTTATGGTTACATTTTAACAACCATCAAAACATTTTCAGGATTCTTCTATGTGAAATGAACAAACATTTAGCATTTTTCTCACACGCCTTAAAACCAACTTTAAATTATATCAAAAAATGAATGAAAAAAACAGTGTAAAAAATAAATAAATCTTCAAATAATGGATGAAAACAGTATAAAAATACAGATACATTTAAAATAATGGATGAAAACAGGGTCAAATAGAAATATTTCATATTGAATCATGGATGAGAACAGTACAAACAGTTATAGATTATTCCAGTATCTTTATTCTTTTCTGAAGAGAATGAAGGAATAAGATGTGAAGTAACAACCTGTGGTAGAGACGGTGAGCATCTCCTCTGGCGGCTTTGCCTCCTTCTTTGGTGCAGACAGCTGCTCCTCCAGGCTCTTCAGCTTTTCTTTGTCCTTCAGCAGGTTTCCTGGTTTCAGGTCATTGATGTCCAGAGACAAGTTCTTACACAGAACTTCAATCTCAAACTTCAAGTTCAGCTGCGAAAACATGAAAAAATACATTCACATAAGCAAATTTCTAGGTGGGAAAACCTTCAGACAGATGAAGTCATTTCAATCAATGGTAGCAAATTACACAAAAGCATTAAATATTTACAGGTCTGTATTCTAAAGAGTTGAGACGGGAGCTCACTAAGAGTTGGGCTGCACTTCATATCTGACAGCTTGGTAATGAGAAAGAGGAATTTATTACTTTGAGGTCGTGCTCCTGATGCAGCTCAGCCAGAACATTCATGATGGCCATGGTCCAAGGATTCTGAGGCCTGAAAACCTGCAGCCAGACAGACACACACACCTTCAGTAAAAGGGTGGAAACACGCAGCTATCATCTACAGAGAATATTACAGCAGGATGCTGGTTTCTGCCTCTGATCCCCACCATGCTGCGCAGACTGGACTCCAAAACTTTGGCCACAAAGGGAACCACGTACAGGAGCTCCTGCTGGCCCTTCACATAGGCTTCCAGGAGCAGAGATTTGAGTTCCAGATCCTCGGGAGAGAAAAAGAAATGTGTTGAGCTCACTGAAGCGGAAGGACCAACCACGGCATCTTTTCACAGATCCTTACTGTATACAGGATGGGTTTGTTTTTGGCCAGTGTAATCATGCCCAGCCAGTGGCCCAGGTTCTTCAGCAGGGAGCGATCAGAGAAATTAGCAGCTGCCTTGTCGGAGGTCAGAAGAACCTGTCAGGGAAAAGGTGAGCCATTTTTTAAACTAATTAACTCCAATTTGCAGGACAGGAAGCAAATTCTTAGACATATTGGAGCTCTTAAACTTGTGGAGCTTCACTCTCACCTTGATGTTCCTGTAGGTTTCATTCAGAACCATCTTGACAAACTCTGGGTTCTTTAGGGTGTCTAAGAAGTTGGAATAGAGACTGTGAAAGTTGGGCTCAATGCTGACGCGCTTCATCACCAGGTACTGGGAGACCCATGGCATGAATTCCTCTTTCACCGTCTCCTTCAGCTCCTCCACCTGTTGAAGCAAACAGCGCTTTAATCAAAACCATTCCTGAGGAGCAGAGCTCTTCAGATGAGGCGTTTCTCCTGCTGCCTTTACCTTCTGTGTCATGTTGGACTGAGACAGGTTGTTGAAGATAAAAGCTATCTTTTCCTGGACGTTCTCTGGGGGCTCGACGATCCTTTCTGTCTGATCAGTGGCTACCAGCAAGGTGTCAATGTTGGTGGTGTTTATGGAAGGCTGCAAAAAGGCACAAGCGTTACGGACATGCAGCCAGTCAGCCGGGCAGCAGCTGGTTACGGCGCCCCGGTCCAACCTACAGGCATATCCTTTTTAAAGCTGCTGGACGTCGGCCTCCCGATGGTGGTGGTCTTGACTGCTGTGGTGGTGGTAGTGGTGGTGGTGACGAGGGTGCTGGGCTGGCCGGGCTGTGGGGCCTTAAGGCTTCCGGGTTGCTGGGCCTGAACTTGAGCCAGTGCCAGGCTGCCAGGTGTTGTGATGGATCCCTGCATCTTCACCGGAGGGTCCCGTGACTGTTGGCCATACTCGATATACTGCACGCACAGGATATTTGAAGAGGCACAGCAAAAGATTTGACTTTTTTCTGAAGGGATAGGTGATTTCTTGAAATTGACAAAATCGTTTGACAAACACTTACACAACAAATATAAATTAAGGAAACCTGATTACCTCTTGTAAATGGTGGGGGAATTGCAAGAAGTGAGCAATTGAGGCCAGATGTTGGCAATACTGAGGGTAGTCCTTAAGTCTACAAGCACAAATGACGTCAGACTGACAGAAAATGTCTCATATTCACACTTATTTTTGCAAAGAGGAAAAGTTTCATACCTGTTTTTGAACCTATCTAGGGCAGCGATTCCAAAGTAATACATTTTGGAACCATACGGCTTGCGTAAGGCTTCAAGGACATAACGGAGAGCCAGGCCCAGGGCCATGTAGGTGACAAGGCCCTTCTCAATGATGCCCCCAAACAGACAGGCAGTGATGTGCAGCTCTTTGTCTGGGTACTGGGGAAAGAATCTGTATTCCTCAAACAGGTTCCGAAGCATGCAATTAAACACCTCCCGTTCCCGCTTGATAGTCGAGTCCTTGAACCTTTGAAGCATCTCCAGTACCTGGGCAGGCAGACAACATGGGAATTTAAACTGACCCGTTATTTACCAAAAACAGACTGCATACTCCCAAAAACACGGTGACTTACTTCATCCACAGACATGGTGGGGTGAGGTGGGTGGTTGTAGATGCGCTGGAAGTAGCTGTTTGCTTCGTCATCTATCTCCTTACTAAAGTGCTGGTTTGCCTCAGGCCACACCTGAGAAAGGTCAGCTGGGGGGAAAAAAAAGCACAGAGCAACATGACCACATGCCAATGTTTGGTTCAACACTGGTGACAAAAAGGCAAAGCAATCCAAACAATGATGAAAATCTGTGTGGTCAGGCAATGCGTCAGCCATCAAAACGGTTCCACAAGAAAGAAAACCTCCAAACTTAAACAGGTTCATAACAGCTTCTGCTCCACTGCTGTCAGGGATGCATTACTTTCTCTGACCGAGATCCCTGTGGTAATGTGCTGTTTGGGAGAAAAAGATCCCACTGCCTGCTAGGATGTGTGCAGGAATGAAATGGGAATCTTTAGCTGCATTACAGCTCAAACACTTTAACCGTTCAGATCTCTATGATACTTGAGAAGCAGACAAATGACATTGAAGTGGGGCTGTCAGCGTAAGCAGACAAGGAATGGAAGACTGATCTGTATTTCCTCCGATTGCATGAGACATGAAAAGTACATTTCTATTTAAAACTTAACAGAGTTTAGAATGATCATCACGGCACATTTAAGTGCTTTAGAGTTCAATTTGCAAATCAGAGTCCTAATCGGCCTCATCGCAGAGGAAATACAGTGCAGAGCGGCGCAGGGCGGGGCTCTCAGTCACACCACTACCACCACCACTTACAGGCCTTCATCTTACTCTGCTGAAAGGTCGGCGGGTTCAAGCCAGGTGTGCTCATCTTCCGGGTGCCAAAAGGATCAGTGCTTACGGACGACATCCCCAAACTAGAGCCGATACCGGCGCTAATACCCGAGCCCAAGGGACCTGAGAGAAACACAGAAAGTTATTTATGAAAAAGTCCAGCTAATTTCACCCCTTATGTAGGAACACCGACAGGCAGTGTGGTGCAATGTCTGGATTTAGTATGAAGCGTAATTATGAAAGTAATCAAAATCATAGTACCAGAGTCCATACCAGGGAGCTGCGAGGTCAGGCTGCCAATACCAAACGGTGTGCTGGGGTTAGGGTTGGGAAGAGGGGGGAAGGCCTTTGCTGGGGACTGGGGATTACTGAAAGCTGAGCTCAATGAGGTGGGGAAGCCCTGCATGCTCTGAGTGTGAGTGGTGGCTGTGCTCCCCAGGTTCAAGGACCCCATGCCAGTGAGAGGGTCCATCTGGAGAGCAGCATCGTGAAGAGATGGAATGAAAAACAAAAACTTGTTAAGCACAAAAGTACCAGGATCAATGCTCCACATTTGGAGTTTTTCTTTTCATGCTTCAGTCACTGAAACAATCCTCTTCTTGAACACACCTGCACAGGTGAGATGGCATCCAGGCTGCTGGTGCTCGGGGCTCGTCCCTTTGGCATCACTCCTGGAGGTGGCTGCCGAGCTTTATTCATCACATTGCTGCAGTTGGCCACCATAGTAAGGATGGTCTCCGACAACTCCTGTGAAACATTCCTGAGGAAAGAAGGAAAAAACAAAAACGGCCATTTAAAAACGCTGAACATCATGCGGGAAAGTTTACAATGACAGCAAGCAGTTAAGCTCCTCACCCAGCACACGACTGCAAACAGGCTAGCATGGTGGCTAAAGTCTCTGGGGGCAGCTGGGCACTTTTGGGCTGGTCCTTGTCCGGGGCCAGACCCCCCATGATGGATGGGCAGCGCCTCTTCAGGAACGTCACGCAAGCCTGAATGAAAGGTTCCTAACAAACACACAGAAAACCTCAATAACAACATCAGACAGGAAAACATCTGTAACGACGTTGGTCTAATTTCAGCACTCACTCCGTGCTCTCTGATTTTGTCAGTCAGCCATTTATCGAGTTTGAGGTATTCACGGCGGGAGGCGAGTGCAGCGAGGTCAATGACAAAGGCAAATGGAGTACCATTCAGCAGCATCGAAAGAGACTGGAAATAAAGAGATGTAATGACGTTTCGCTAATGTCAGAGAAACTCTGACTAAATTTAAGATTCAGTATTTTAATAGTTTAGCAACTTTGTATTGGGGTTAATTTATTCTATTACCATTTAAAGGCTAAATTCTGCCTCTAAAATGAATGTAAAGCCACAGGATATACAGAACCATCTGTTCACAGACTCACCTTCAAGTCCTGGGCCACATCCAGGATGCGAGAAAGCTTGGCCTGGTCATACTGCTCCCCTCTCATGTACCACTCAGCCATCGAATGCATTATGAGCTGACGAATGGATGGAGACTGCCCCTGGTAGAGGGGAGGTTCAGGGTTAATCCAAAAATTAAGACAGACTGAAGTGACCTCTTGAGCTGAAATGAAGTCAGTCCACCAACCTGTCCATGCCAGGCATAGTGCAAAATGATAGCAGAGTTGGGGTGGTTGCCCAAAAAGATGGGCATGAGGGTAGAGATGAGCTCGTGGCGCAGGGTGTGCCAGGAGGTGGAGATCTGCAGCAGCGCCAGCACCAACATGTCCGGGCAGTGCTTGATAGGGAAGCTGAAGAGTTGCTTCACCTGTTCATACTGCCCGACCTCAGAGAGCCGGAGAAGACTTTCCACCAGGTCCAGGCTTTTCCTGAGAGGGGGGGAGTCAACAGAACTAGTTAAATAAAGGATAGCTACAAGGAACCCAAAATCGCATCTCCACCTATCTGTGAGGATTCTCAGTCATCCAGGTCAATCTTGAAAAGTTTGGTTAAGCAACCGGACGTGAAGTTTTCTAGAAGACGTTTCACCTCTCATCCAAGAGGCTTCATCAGCTCTAACTGATGGTGATGGTCATTAACACCCCCCCGATGACCTCTATGGCCCATCCAGTATGAGGGATCAGAGCCACCGTTTGTTTTTTCTTTTCTCTCCTTAATTCTTTTGTTACACCACGGTATATTGACCTCAGAGCTCTACCATCAGTTAGAGTCTTCTAGAAAACTTCACATCCAGCTGCCTAAACTGGACTTTCCAAGCCACATCTCCACTCTAACAGCAGCCTGAAATGTATAGCCTATGAGAACAAGGCAGCGAGGCTAAAGCCCTCATACCATGTGGCAATCTCCCTGTTGTCATCCTCTGGTGGGGCTTTCAGGATGTCAATAGCCACACTGTGACATGGGTAGTCAGCAAAGCAGAACACTTCTGAGTTCAACAGAGAGTGCTGAATGAATGACAACTGGGGAGAAAAAAACACAGGTTAAACATCAGGAAAGAAAACAAGGTCCTGACAGACGAGTTTATCGGGATTATTTTCATTTTTGACCACTGAAGGTTGCAGGTATTTGTCAGCTACCTGTCCCTCAGCATGTTTCCAGGGTCGATAGATGAGATCGACAGGGAACACCTCCAAGCCCAGCCCTCTTTGGATGCCATACACCACGATATTCAGGCCTTTGCTGTCCCGGATGATGAAGCCAGGGTGGTCCAGCTCATACGTCACCTCTTTGAAGTTCAGGTTGGGATTCTGGGTTGTGGCGGAAAAAAAGCCAAACATCAGGCATATTCCATATAGTTTTTTCTTCATGTGTTTTAGGCCTTAAATGGAAAATTAAATTTGGTCATTTTTTACTCAAAATGAGTAACTTAAAAAAAAAGAGCCTGTATATTTTGTATGCATACTATTTCACATAAATTCCCTGCATTTTCAGACAATATCCTCAAGGGCAAATGCACTGGATTCCTCCAGCGGCAATCAAATCAAGCTTCTAATCTGCAGTTTGAAGCTTTAAAAACTGCTCAACTACCCCTGAAAAATATTAGTTTTACTCATGTTAGTTATATATGTCAAACTTTTAGCCTTAATGTGATGCTAAATCAACAAGCAGCATTTATGGATCACAAAGCCGATTTACAACAAATCTTTTACCACTTCTTTGACGATGTCGATGAGAACCTCCACGTTCCACGTGTGCGCCTGGGAACCGTCGTTCTTGTCCTTCCCATCACTCCAGATGCCGCTTCCCGGAGCCGAGATGGACTGCAGGGAAGCAGAGACAACGCTCAGATGATCGGATGTGAAGCTTCCACCAGCCAGCAGAGCCCCAACAGAACAGACTGTGTTGCTCCTCAGTTTTACATTAATAAATATCATCAGTAGCAACTACACACACAAAACTAGACATATCAAACCGGACCCCTCTGCTCATATGGTGAGCATTTAGACAAGAGGTCGGTTGTGGGCGGTCCAGCCCCAGTTTTACCCCCATTTTACTCTGTTTAAAAAAAAGTTTTGTTTCTAGTGAAACAAATTCAGACAACCCAGGCCATTTGATTGGATTGGTGGAATACCTGGAGAGGAATGCCATCAGTAAGGCCTGAGTGGGTTCGAGCCATCATTCCCAGGACTCTGGCTACCTGGCTGGCGGTCACCTCTCTGACTCCATACTGCAGGATTATGTTTCTGCATTCGTCCAAACTGGACAAAAGACAAACATGTCAAAGTATATCACATTTTATCAAGCTCAGAAAAGAGCAGACACTGGGCAGGTGATGTATTTATGTGGGATGTAATGGTTTCATATGGGGTCCGTGTTCAGGGATTCATTGTATTGCCGTTAGACATTTAGTAACACTTCTTAGTTTTTTGTAGTCTGAAAGCGACACGAGGTGGTGACATGGCATTTTACACACAGCTGTAACCTAAAAATATCACAGGGCTGTTTGGGGCCAAAGTATTCACCTAGCACAGAAGCCATAGCCGACTTCCTGAATGAAGTCTGCCAGAGAACTCTCCATGATGGTCTTAGCTAACTCCCCCGAGTCTGGTAGGATCCTATCCATGAGAATGTCCCGTTTTTCAGGATACAGCAGTGGTGCGAGCACCACAGGGCAGCGCTCCTGGGGGAAATCTGAAAACCGAGCACACACAGATGAGCCACCAGAGAATGTGGTTTGCTTCCAACCTGTTTCACAATTATAATTTTTTTTAATATAAAAACAGAAACGGCCTTTGTTACCTCGGCAAAGTGTTTTAAGGAAGGCGTCGATCTGCTCCTGTCCGACCCCACTGGCTCCCTTCTGGCCAAACAGTAGATGGGAGAGCAGCAGGTGCAACACCTCTATGGCGATGTCCTGGAAGCCACCTTCTTGGTTTCCTCCAAGATCTGCGTCAACGTATGACCGCAGCAGGTCTGGAAGCTTCTGCTTGATAAACTGTGCAGCTGAGAGACAAAAATCAGCCTTTTAAATGTGTTTTCTACACAGTTTAAGGTGTGGGGGGGGGGCTTCCATTTTCAGCACTTTTGGACAGACATTTTAAAGGATTTAAACAAATGCCCACAAAGTTTTTACAGGCTGAATTAACGAAGCAGCCACTTCATGAAAAATGTTTACAATCAAGAACTGTGGAAAGCTGCCAACAATTCACGATGCATCTTTTCCACGTTTTTTTTCCAGTGGTTTATCCTTTTTATTGCAGAACAGAAATTCTTAAAACAAAGATTACAGTAAAAAATCAGTTGTTTTTTTAGAAAAATCTGACATTTCCTCGTCATTTTCCCCCAACTAAAGAGAATGCATGGATGACTAAGGTTATTAAACTGAGTCTAATACATAGCACATTTTCTGTTCAAACTAATGCCCATGAAACAGTTAATCATGTGTGCAACAGGAGCTCTGATGGATGCTCCTGATACAACAGCCTGCTTTGTCTCAGACAGGATAAAACTTAAATCAGGACTCGGATCAGATTGATTTAGAATATCTATGGCAGCTTTTAAAAACTAGACTTCAGATTATGTTTGTTCACTGTATAAATAAAAGATTTCAATAGAACACCCACCAAAACCACGAAGGTCTGTGTTGCTGGAGTTGAGCAAAGCGAGGCCAAATATCACCTGAGAAATAAATCAGAAATAAAATATGAAGGCTTTCCGCGGTCAAACAATCAGTTTATAACATCTTTACTTTTCAGAACTGTAAAATCTCCTGTGATGAGTTTAGACTGTCCCTTCAAAGAACTGACTTACCTCTTGGACTTTACTGAGCTTAAGAACTTTACTCAGTTGAGTGAACAAGTGGGCTGAAGGCTTCAAACTCTGAAAGGCACATTAAAAGAACATTTTTCTTACTAATGCACAAATGACATTCATAAAGCCTAACAGAAATCCATCCAGGTGTTGGATGAAATATTAATACACACATCTGAAGGTCAGTCCTAAATATCGGTATCTGGTGACACTGCTTAGCACACAAGCTTTGGTTCTAACCGACAGAAAGCTGTATCCTGCAGATTACTACCAGATGATAACAGCTGCATCCAAAAAACAAAGACCGAATTATGGAGAAACAGTGATAATCGGTGTGTACACACAGGTGCATTGCTGCTCTTTACCTTCTGGTAGTGCAGGGGATTGTCAATGGCGTAACACAGAGTAGAGATAAAGTTTGGCTTTGATATCAGCGACACACACTCCTGAATCAGAAACTGCGTCTTGGGCAAGTTGACAAGAAAAAGAGATAGGAGACGAATAAAAAGACACAAGATAAGCAGTTGAGACAAGATAAGGCAAAAATCAATGTGAAACAGTGTGCTGTAAATAACCGGCAGATCAATCATGATATGGAGGGAACTGTTTCCAGTTCAGAAAACAAAGCAGTTACATCCAGTGATTGTTAGCATCACGTTAAAATTATCCTTCACATTGAGCTATTCATATATCTTGCTTTCAGGTTTTCAGATGGTTTAAAACACTCGAAATAAACTGAACACACACTTAATTTCCTGTAGCTGGTTCAAAAATCACAAACATCTGTGGCATAAAATAATTAAAAACCTGCATTTCTAAATCAAAGATTACCTGGTGAAAGTCCTTTCCACTGCTTTTACCATCGCCACTGAAATCCACATGGGAGAAGAGACAGCGTAGTAGATGCCTGTCTGCCTCAGGGCCGTGACGATTTACAATCTGGAATATCACAAATAATATGAACTCACAAAATGTTCCGGTCATTCCACATATGATGGAGCCACCTTACTGATGATACAGATGTTTGTAAACCAGCTGCTTCACCTGACTGTGTGGAGGCCGATCCATTAGTGACCTCTCACTGCACAAAACGGTGACATTTCCACCCTTTATTCTCTCAGAAACAAAACGGTGACCAGGCCGAATGAGATACAGCTGACCAAACCATTATTTGTACACAGTGGGACATTAACAGGAGCTTTTAACTGCAGACAATTGTCAATAGTGCACAAATATTTTACTATAAATATAGTCATCTCTAAATATTTATCATTACTTAAGGTACTCTCCTCTATGCCAGATTCTGTGTTGTTTTTTTTTTAATCTAACTTATTAGCATAACATTATATTTTGTATTTTTCTTGTCAAAACAATGCAGCTTGTCAATGTTTTTCCATGGTTTAGCACTCAGTCAGGATTCTATCTGCTTCAGACAAAGTTTTTCGAAGGTGGGATCCCCAATCCTCATTACGGGGCCACACAAAGCTCCAGTAACAGGAGACAAATACAAGTTGTGGTGAGTGATGCAGTCATTGCTTACTGGATTTTAAAACCCTGTAGGAGTGGGGACTAATATTCTATTAGTCCTGTGTGGAACAGAGCTCACCTCCAGTGTGGGGAGTCTGGATTTTGCAACACAAGCACAAAGTTTTGTAAAATGAGGCAAAAGAAAATCCCAAACTTCTTCCCAAACCAGAAATCAAGGAACCGTGTCCATGTGTGCAGGATCCCAGACTTGTAGCAGGGGCTGCATTAAGCACACAGGTGAGGAGTTTGAAGTGTTTTCACATTATTGTGCTCTAACCTTGGCTGAGGACATACAGAAACAAAACCAACCCTTTATGGAAGTACTACAGAGGTCATGCTCATTAAGCAGCGCTGAAATCGCACAACGTTGACAAATTTACTGCACACAGCAGCTGCGCTCTGATTTCAGCTGTTACATATGAAGTGATGATTTAAATTGAGTTAGTTCACATTTACAGCTCACAGCGCATCTCACTGCAGCCACTCAGCAATGGAGCCGAACAGGAAAGTATCACCTGTGTGCTTCTCTGATTATTTTCTTTGATGAAAAATTAAATAGGGTGAGATTTACACAAAGGTGCTTTCATTAAAAAAACAAAAACAATTTTTTAAAGAGTGACAAACCCCATTCAATGGCTACAAGCAGCAGTGCATGTCAAGAGTGCAGCTCACCGGAATAAATTCAGGTCAAATTCAAACAAGAAGAAATAGTACAAGGCTTTTCATAAACAACACTAAACTATCTTAATGTAAATATTAAATAACACATCTTTAAATCCAGTACATTTCCAGAAACCACAGCTGAGACAAGGTAGTAGTAAGAGGGTAAGAGGCCTGCAGGCGTGAACACATCCCCAAATAAACAGATACGATGCTGGTATGAGCTGCCTCCGTTTGGCACGCATGAGTGATGAAAGATGGAAGACTGAGACACGGCCCAAACTTTTATGTACCAACAAGTGTCAAGTGATCTAACCTTTTTAGAAGTTTTACAGAAAATCTGGTACAGATTAAATTGATAAATATTTTCTAGTTTAACTGACAGGATGTGGAAGCCTGTGAAAAAAATTGCAGATATATACTAGAGATATTTGACACGTTTTTCTTAAGTTGTCACTACTTACATGCTGTATTTCTTGCTGGCTGGCTCGGTAGTTTTTCTTTGTTAAATTGTCCACCAGATAGCTGATTTGAGACAAAGCCAGCGAGAGCGAGTCAAGATTCATTGCTGGTTGGGGCGGAAGCAGGCGGCCGAGCACGGCGCAAAATCACCATTATTCCCCTTTAGTCACTTCAGTGATAGGTTACTTCTGCTCCCCCCCCCCAAAAGGTGTGACAAGTGTAGGCTTCCAAATATGTGCTCCGATCAGTGGTTCCCAATGCTTGTAGAGTCTTTTAGTTTAAAATCAGGTTCAGCATCTGTAATCAGAAAACAAAATACTGATTAGTTGTCTGACTTATAAATACAAGGTGCTAACAGAACAATGTTTACTGTCCACTGGAAACTCAAAATAGTTTGACAGGCTTTGGGGCCTGTTGAGTATGAAAGACCCCAACGCGAATCAAAACAAGTTATGCAATTCATTATTTTAGGGTGCCAATGATCTCATCACGTTTTGCTCAATACAAAGTTACATCCTACAAGTTAGTTACAACAAATGTATGGTATCAAAATATCATAAACTACACACGACTAGTAAATACTAGGCCTTAACAGCACCGTCATAAATATTACACAGAAACAAAACGCTTTACTTGTTTTTTTCAAATACACTTAATATAGGAGACATTTACAGCACTTATCAATGAAAAGACAATGATATATTGGAAAATACAGAAAAAACAAACCAATAAAACCTTTCCGTGGAACAAAGAACACGCTAACGCGAGTTAGCAACAGTTAGCGACCAAGCACGTCCAAAAAATGCTCAAGTTAGTCGATGTTTAACTGAGCAACGACATTAGCAGTCGTTTCAGAGTATCCGAATGAACTAAAAATAATGTATGCAATGTAACCTACGTCGTCCAGGGAACACAGTTGTGGCGAGCAGTGCAACCATCTGTGTACTGTAGCTAACAGCGCCATGACGCTGATAAACAACGCCAAGAAGTTATCGCTAGTTCACACGGTAACTGCAATTCCAATCAGCCATGAAAACAAAACGTTTAGTGCGCCGCTTATCTATACTTCTATCTACAGTGTCCAATGTAGGAAGGACATGATCTGCATTGAAGTTTGAAAAAATGTTAAACGTTACCAATTCTAGGAGAGTACTAAGGCTATGCTAGCATATTCGAAAAGCTAAAGTTAGCAACATGAGCTCGTCTCGAGCAAATGAGCACGAGACCGAAACCCGTTAAAATTTTTACTTGTGTCGTTTTAAAATTCAATATGAATATTTTATAAAGGTGGGAAATCCACAGAACGCACATTTTGATTTTGAACTTGGCTTATTTTCGGTACTACCAACCAGTTTTCCACGACCAAACAAGCTAACGATAGCATTAACCTTGTTAACGTTAGCTTGTTTCCGTGGTCTCCGACTATTCTATGGAATTGCTAGCATAGTTGCTAAAGCTGTTTCTGTTGAAACAACGCGTAAAGTCAACCTCGAGCTAATGTCAATGTCGTGCTCAGCACTCATTTACATAACACACTTATGGGAAAGTTATTAGATTTCACGAAAATCGTAGTTAAAAGAAAGAATTGTTTCTTTCCAGAAACGAACAATTTGACATTTGCTTCCCAGCAAATAGACCGCCCCTTCGTCGCTGACCAACGGCAGCCGTCCGACTTAAAATCACAGATTATGTCTCATGTATGGGCCTGTGGAGCGTTTTTCACATAAAAAACTATCCGAACTCTCACCGTGCTCGCAGAAAAGTGACTTAGGTCCTCATCCCTTCCAGTCCCCCCACAACAAACTTGACGAAATGGTAGCAATGCTCCAGAACAGTTTGATTTTCAAAATAAAATGGCGACTGTCACCGCGGCGGCGCGCGCGCTCACGCGGACTTACGAGTGCACGAGTTTATGGCGCCCCCCGCGACCGACCCTCGCCTCCTCAGCCATCTCCTGCCCCCTCCTGTCCTCCGGGGCTCTGCTTCCAAATGGACGCGTTTCCACCTATTTTTGCCATATCTGCTGGATGGATTTTTAAACGGGGCGGTCCAAGCTGTCAACAAATGACTTCAACTCAGCAAGTTATTTTTGTGTAGCTATTTTATGCCAGTAGTTTGCACTAAAAAAACATTGTACAATCATTTGAAACCCACCAAAACCTCATAGTTGTACAAACTATGTTTAATCCAAACTCAGAAATGTAGACCACAACATATTTATGTAGATAAACATAAATATGCTGTGATTAAGACTTAGATTTTATATGACAGTAATATTAAGAATTCTCTGTCGTGCAGCCAAATAAATTTACAAGTCATCATGATCCTCCTGAAAATAGCATGAATTTTATGTAGGGCTGTGATATTGATCAGATTTGGATCTGACTCCACGGGACGCTCAGATGAAAAAACTGAACTTGGATATATGAAATCCATGCTCAGCAAAAATCTCGAGATGAGTTGTGAAGCAAAAATGCTGGGCTTTGTCAACGTAAAATGACCAGTGATGTTTGCTGCCTTAGGTAGAGCCAGAGGAATGGATCGCTAGCAGCAGAGCTTAAAAGGAGGAAGGCCCAGATATGGCATCATTTGCATTGACAGAGTTCAGCCAGCTCTTATCCCTGCTCACGTGTGATGCCTGTGGCTTCTTAAGGCAGCTTTTTAGGTAACACACCAGTTCAGGTTAGCAGGTTTTCACTCTGCCAAACAGCACCGACACAAAATTTGATTTTACATCAAATACATGGACATTTGGAAAAGTTTGGTCTGTTTTATTCATAAAAAAATGGTAAAGAAGCATTATTTTCTATAAATTCTTGACATCCAATGAAACAGATCTGACTCCTTAATCTCATTGTGCTTGAGTGCAGTGAAATACGAAACATTCTTCTGTTTATGCTAGAACGATTTATTTTTCATATGGGAAATGCTAAAAGACCTCTCAGTGTCGTTAAAACAATGTTTTTCAATCATATTTTTTGTCCTGGTAATAATCAGAATGCCCATATAGACACTTCTTACATCGTTTATTACCAGCTGCTGTGTAAAAATACATTTTCAGGACGCTGTGGCTCTGTGCTCAGAGCTGGGTGAGCTGCATCAGTCTGTGCAGGATCATCTTCTGCCCGAGGCGGACCTGCAGCGCCCGCCTCTGCCGGCTGCTCAGAGCCCCGAGCGCCGCCCGGTCCTCCAGCAGCGCCCGGTCGGCGTCCGGCCCCTCCGGCCGCCCGTCTCCGTAGCAACTCAGGGTCAGCCGGGCCGCCTGGTGGAGCAGCCGCCTCCAGGCCGGCTGCAGCTCAGGGAGGCCCTCGATGGAGAACGCCCGGGAAATCCGCTCCTCCTCCTCCTCGTCTTCCTCGTCCTCCTCCCAGCCGTCGTTGTCTCTGAACTCTGACAGCTCCTCTGCCGACATGCACAGCACCTGGGCACACAGACGGTCAGCCTCCACAGACGCCGGGTCTCTGGCGCCCGGCGCCGCGGCGGGGGCCCCGCACCACCTTGAGGGCGGAGTGCAGCTCCGAGTCGGTCAGGCAGCCCCGCTCGCCGAAGACCAGGGCTCCTCTGTCCCGGGTCATGTGACACAGCACCTCCCAACGCTCCTCGTTCAGGGCCCGCTCCGACTCAGACTGAGCCCCTGCCGAAAGAGGAGGTGAGATAAAACGGGCCGGTTTTTCCCAAAACAAGACACCCAGCCATCACAGAGTCACATTACAGCTCCATTCACAGCATGAAGTTACCAAACCTGGAATTGGAAATTATTAAAAACACCCCACAAGTACATGTGAACAATGAACTTTTCTGAATAACTAACTGGATTTGAATTCTTTAGGGTTTCATGGATCTTAAAAAGCTCACGGTTGATTGTTTAGCTATGTGACCCTGAAACACTTCATAGTTCTGCTGGGGGCTCCCATGATGCACCTCTCCCCCTCTCTCTCAGCAGGGGTCCTGCCTGGTGTCCTGGGGCCGGTTGGCCCCTCTTAAAGTCCTCTTTGCCCCCAACTGGGCCACAGAGACGGTTCTGGTTCTGATGGAGGTTTTTTCCTGTTTAAAGAAGTTCTTTCTTCTCTGTGTCGCCTCACTGGGACTGTTCGGGCCCAATCTGCTGGTTTCCAGAGCTTAGACACTGCATGAATTTGACTCGTTTAAAATGTGAAAAATTTAATTTGTTTGTACGACCGTTGTTGAATATCTCTGATTGATGGCTTGGATTGGACTGGATCTCTGAAGGGCCTCCAGGTGACGTCTGGTGTGACTGAAAGTGGACTGAATCTAACTGAGCCTTGTAGCACCAGCAGAGAGAGGAGAGCCCCACCAGTTTCCTGTCCCTGAGTTCTCTGACCTTGCTGACCGTTTGAAATGCCTGTGGCCGGCCGGGCTCGGACTCTGGAGCAGGATCACCTTGCGTGGCGGCTTTGTGGAGGTTGGCCACGGGGATGTCGGCCGTCTCGCTGCGGTTGCTGGGATACGGCTCGGTGAAGCCGTACATGTGCAGGAGCTGCCCGTTGGCCATCTGCCCATAGGTGTTGAACACCTCCTCCCCCTTAGCGATGCGGCGCACGCAGACCATCTTCAGACTCTCCTGGAGAAAGAGAGGAGGCGGTTTCCGGCTGGAAAATGTTGAGGCGGGAAACGCAAAGCGAGCGCCTGCTCACGGCGGTGAACTCCAGGTTGGCGTTGTGATCGGACACGTGGTTGAGCATATCCGCCATGGGGACCATCACCGGGGGGTTGGGGGCCTTATCCTCCTCCTCCTCCTCTTCCTCATCTTCATCATCCTCCTCCTCCTGAGGCTCCTGAAAGCTACAGAGAAGAAGAAAAATAATTTTTCTGAATTTCGGAGGAGAGAAAAAAAAAAAAAGACAGCCTCCCTCTGGAGCCGGCTGACCTGTACGCCATGACGAAGGCCACCAGCTGCGTGTACAGCTCCAGCGTGTGCGTGTCTGGGCTCCACAGGTCCGGATGTCGGAGCATGAAAGGCACAACCACTTCTTTGTACTCGCGCCGGATGTTGGATAAGTCCGTGTCCACCAGCTCTGGGAGGCCTGTCCCCCTCAGCAGCTCCGCCCGCTCCTCTTTGGACCTGAGGGGGGAGGGGGGGGGGGGGGTTGGTTCCGGAAAAAGCCGTAAGCAGACCTCTGAGACAGGAGGTTAAACCGACCAGAACATGGGCTGGTCCAGCGCTCTGAAGTCCGGCCACAGCGAGAGGTACGGCCTCCAGTGGGACTGCGGGGACGTGTACTCGTAGAGCAGAGCCAGCAGCAGGGGGACCCAGCCCGAGGAGCTCTCCAGGGACTGCTTCTCTGTGGGGGGGGTGGAGGACATCACCATCACCAGGCCGGAGCAGTTAGCCGTTCTCTGTACTCTGATATTTGCCTTTGAACCGTCACCTTTCTCCAGTAAGGAGGACACCTTTGTGGTTCCCTGGTGGAGCAGAGCTGGTCTGGGGATGGTAAATAGCACCTCGCCCTCCTCTATGTCGTCGGTGGCGAGCATCCCATAATCTGCCACCGTCCCCTCTTTGCTCAGACACACCTGAGTGCCCAGACAGGAGAGTTTTACTCGGCTGAAAGCAGGACCACAACAGCAGCATCACAACAGCAGCATCACAACGCGTCCAAAGGGACCAAACAAGACCCCGAATCCAATAAAGTACAATTTTCCTTTATCATCTGTATCTTTTAGCTGACATGAAACTAAAACACATCCCAGGAGACGACCTTAGGACCAGAAAACATTTAGGTAAACTGTCAATCCTCTTCTCACAACAAAAGCCAGATTTGGTGTGAAATGGATAGAGGAACACACACAGGAACACATCATACAAACAGAAATTGAGTTTCCGAGGCTGAAAAATGACTCAAACTGGTGCTGTTCATTCAGATAAAGTCAGATGTAAAAACACACCTTGTTGCTGAGGACCAAACCAACTCTATCGCACCAGTGAAGGAAGTCTTTCAGACGCTCTGAACTGTCGTCCACCTGTCAGGAGAAAAAGCGACACAAACCTTCATATCAGGAGTATTTGGAGCACATAACTCAACCCGGACGGCCTCCCCAGCGTCCACAGCCGCAAACATCTAAACAGGCGTTCAGAAACATCCCGGGGAGCTAAAAATCACCTTCTGACGCTTGGCTTCTGTTGCCATCCTTTAAGTGCTCAAGTAGCCGCTAAGCTAACACGCGGACCAAAGAGGGGAGACAAGTTTGGCCCAAAAGGGGACCCGTAGGCAGCTGCTTCCACCCGCACATGAGGACGTCTGTAAGGAGAGAAAACACTGATTCATGTTATAGACAATGTGTTTTTAGTCAGAATTCCCAGCAAATTGAATGGTCAATTTATTGTTGTTATTATGTCAACGTTAGATATCGTATATTTATTGGTAATACATTGGACAGTTGTCTTGAACAGCTGCTTCATTCTGTTGAACAAAAGTACAACCCGTATTAAGACAGGATTTCATAGTGTTTTCTTACTCTCTGGTTCCTGTGTGATGTTCCTATATCCAGATCCCGCTCAGCTGATCGTGTGGCTCGTTGGTCTAGGGGTATGATTCTCGCTTTGGGTGCGAGAGGTCCCGGGTTCAAATCCCGGACGAGCCCAAGTTTTTGCTGATTTACTCACGACATATGACACATAATTAGATTATTATTAGATTATTATTTACAGTGTAAAACATGAATAAGGAGTACGCTCATAAACGTCTTTCAGTCTTTCCAGGCGAGCACATACTGAACATTTTACAGGTCTTGGAAGGGAAGACATTCAACTTCTTTCTTCTATAATAAACTTACAGTATATTTGTTTCTTTAGTCATATGTTTATCTATGTTTTTGAGTGACTGATGACAGAGCTGGAATAAAGCTATTTGTGTTTGGGAGCTTCAGCCTCTGCAAAGATTTTCGCACACATGAGAGATTTCTGTAGAAAACCTGAGCTTTGTAAAGGTCAAAGATCACAGGGGTTCCTCTGAAAGGCCAGTCAAGAAAAATGCTACTATCCATTATTTATTTACTCCATAATGCTTGTTTTGTGGAGTTATTGGCCCTCAATATTTCAAACAGTAATCATAACATTGTATATATGGGCTATTTTCTTCCTTACCGTTTTATTTCTTACCTAAAAATAGTCCAGGTTTATATCTTTCATGACTTTTATTAACCAAACTCTTCAGTTATTTTCCTATTTTCTTCAGACTATGTAGTTCAGACTTTTAGACCCATCTGTAAGTGTTTCAGTGACCCCTTCGTGGTGCGTTCGTGGGCTCCCTGGTGCGCGTTGAAACCATAGCTGTGGCCATCAGAGGTCGCTGCTGAGCTTTGAGGGCTGAGCCGCCACATCAGCACAGCTGAACCCCAGACTGTCTCCGAGAGTTTTCCAGGTGTTGCTTTGCACATCTGGCTCGTTGGTCTAGGGGTATGATTCTCGCTTAGGGTGCGAGAGGTCCCGGGTTCAAATCCCGGACGAGCCCTGCTTTTTATGCATTTACCCTGGAAACAGAAGTAGCTGACCATACTTATATAATACTTGTACTTTTACACATTGTGTAACATTGTATAATTAACACTTCTGGGTTATCAACTCCTTCATAACAAGCTTAGATGAATTATGACTGGTCTTGAAAACTAAAATAAAGAAACGGTCAAAGTCCATAGAAACTGGACAACTACTGCCTAAAACCACTTAAAGGATTACAATAAGAAAATCTGTTATTCTGGAAGGAAAACATAAAGAAATTACCAGTGGATCAGGAACTTTTGTGCAGGCCATGATTATACTTACTGTAATTAGGCAGACGTGGGAGGAAATCATGTCAAAGAATCTTTGATGGAGGCACTGAGTCGTGCACCGGTGTGATTAACATGTAGTGGGAAGAGCTTTGAGTGGTCAGGTCGACTGAAAGGTGCTTTAAAGGTTCAGTCCATCAGTCAAAGATAAGGGAAGGTTAAAAATCAGGTTAAATTCTGTAAGTGTTGCACAAAATTGCAGCTGAAGTAAGCAGTTTAAATGAAGAGTGGATGAAGGTTTTTAGAGAGAATGTGGAGTTGGTTTAAAAACAAGGTCACATTCAGGGCCTCAAGCCTGGTATGAAACAATGTATTTATCTATGTATTTGTTATTAATACAAACTATTTATGAGGTTTTATTTTCTGCAAATGCTAATTTGAGTCCATGACTTTGCCCATTCAGAGCTCTGTGCTTTGCCAAGCCTGGGTTAGCCCTAATTCTTCTCCCTAATTCTTCTGGAGCTTAAACTCAAACACTGTGACAGGTTTGATCGTCAGATTACGCGTTGACAAGCTCCTTTTCTTTTGTGGAAATCCTAATAAGCTGAATGGTGCTGAGTACAGCTCTTTCAGAGGTTCGTATTTCATAAGAGGATCATCAGAAACCGTAAACAGAACATTTTGCTTTGAGTGCTGGAAATTGAAGAAAAGAACGGAAACTCGCATTTCACACAGCAGGAATTCTGAACATGTGTTTATCCACAAAAAATACAGACAGCGATTCACACGGGAGCAGGAGCATTGGGACAGATCTGCAAAAATGGAGAGGCCTCAGAGGGCTTTTTTGCCACAGGTGACGGCGGTGCCGAACAGTTTGTCCCAGTGGCTGAAGAACGG